AAAATTCTTATCAAACTTGCGACTCTTCAATTCTACAATTCTATGAGCTGCAGCTCTTCCCAAAGGCAACAAGCTGATCATAGGGTTAAGATATCAGCTCTAATTTTTCTACCCACCTACCCCTTTGTTCCACCACCCACTGGGTCATGCAACATCTTCCTTGATGGAGAGTTCTGCAGAATTTGAAACCGGTACCCCAAAGCAATGAATACATTAGAAATACATATTCTACAGTTTCTGAATCAAGGTTCTCTGATCATGTCAAAGTTCCTGTTCGGATTGGAACGGGGGAAATTTAAAAAGCAAATCAAGTGAAAAAACAACTCTGTCCTTCTGCAGATTCCTGCATTGCAGGAGGTTGGATTAGATGACCCTTATGGTCCCTTCGGACTCAACAATTCCGCTGTTCATTGATTCCAATTAAATAGGCAGGCAGTACCCTCTAGTGTTGGCACCGGGTGCTCTCATTTTCTGAGTAAATCACGCTGTTCTGTTCTGTCAATTGAACAGAATTTGTCACGCACAATGGAAGTGGAGGGAAATTATCCGGATAGATCTGCTTATTTTGAATACGCCTACCCAATTTGCACGCTGCAATTTACCAGAATTGGGGTCTCCCCCCACCACATCAGAAGCTTAGCAATCATTAATATTCAGGACAGACAACAGACTAAATAGGAAGGACCTCTTTGCACGGCACAGTTAATCTAACGTCTACTTTTTTCGTGAGCTGCTTATAGTTTCTATTTCTGACCCAGCGGCATGCGCTATGCTGCCACTCAGAATGCATGAAGGTGCCTTAGGCGGAGTTGGGTGCCAGTTTCTGATCAGGGAAAACCTTCACAGTCCCTTGACTGGAGATGCTGGCGACTTAATCTGGGACTTCATGCACCACCTTCCCATCTCCAGGGAATCCCTTCTGGGGTATCCAAGAGCCCGTATAGAGTCCTTAAGTGGGTTCCCTATTAGTACGAGAAAATAACAGAGGCCAACCAGAGAATATTGAGAAGCAAAGCAGCTAGTAAGCCTGATCTTTATTGATCTGTTGCAACAGAGTCCCCCCACTCACCCCATGCAGGAGAGAGGAGGAACCCAGACAGTCCCGGATTTACAGAAGCCATCCTGGTTTCTGATTTGATCCCAGAATGTCTCACTTTTCCTTAGGACAGGGGTCTGCAACCTTTAAGACAAAAAGAGCCACTTGGACCCGTTTCCGAAGAAAAAAAAACTGGGAGCCGCAAAACTCGTCATTATAAAAATAACTTTTTTGTCACTTTTTTATTATTTCTTTGTTTGACCCCTCAGAATTACTCCTCCTCATAGAAATAAACGTTAAATTAACACGTTACCTTTGTGTGTGTGTGTTCTTCACTCCCCTTCAAAACAGTGACCAGTGTACATGCCCCCTTTCAATGCAGTGACCGGCGTACATGCCCCCTTACAATGTAGCGGGCGGGCGACGTCGGACGGTGCATGACTAACGCACGCACCGCCCCCATGCGACGTCACAGCCAGTACAGCGCGCGCAACAGTGGGGAGTGTCGGGGCGCACAATGCGCCTCCTCCCCTCGCTAGTATCCGCCCCGGAGCCGTGGCAAAGGTGTAAAAGAGCCACATGCGGCTCCGGAGCCGCGGGTTGCAGACCCCTGCCTTAGGATGTCCCTATTTTCATCGGAGAAATGTTGGAGGGTACAGTAGTACCTTGGTTCTCAAACTTAATCCTTTCCGGAAGTCTGTTCGAAAACCAAACAAAGCACACTTTCCTATAGAAAGTAATGCAAAACGGATTAATCCGTTCCAGACTTTTAAAAACAACCCCTAAAACAGCAAATTACCATGATGAACTGATGATAGTCACTGATGGGGGGCTTTTATCCATTTCCGCAGTCACACAATCCGTCAGTCAGTAGCTAAACTGGGTTCCACACAGTCACAAAAACAAATTAACCAAAAAAAGCCTCAAAAACAAAAATGCAAAATAAATAGCAAAAACAAAAGCGCCAAACTTAATCCATTCTGGAAGGCCGTTTGACTTCCGAAATGTTCAAAAACCAAGGCGCAGCTTTTGATTGGTGCAGGTGCCCCGGAAACAACAGCCACATTGGACGTTTGGCTTCTGAAAAACTTTTGAAAACCAGAACACTTACTTCCGGGTTTTCGGCGTTTGAGAACCAAGGCATTTGAGAACCAAGGTACCACTGTATTAGATATTCCTATTTTCAGTGGAGAAATGTTGGAGGGTAGGGAGTTATGCAACCTGAGCCCAGGAAATAAGTAACTCCACAAGCTTTAGAAGACGTATGAAGGCAGCCCTGTATAAGTAAGTTTTTATATGTTTGATGCTTTATTATGTTTTTATGTGTGTTGCACCCCACCTGTCAGGCTTCGGAGAAGCAGCTCCTCCCCCCCCCCCTACTTTGGCTGTGTATCAGCAGAACAAACCAATTAGAGTCCCTTAGCAATTTAAGAGCATTTAATGATCACAGCAAAAGAACACAGCAGCCATTCTTGGAGCGCAGGTGCTCCCAATTAAGTTTTCCTCCTCCTTCCCCCCCTCCGAGTCATCGTCATTTCCCCTTCTTGCAACCTGATCTTGCAACCACTGAGCCTTCTGCATAGCAACTTTATCAGCTTTCCATGACTTTGGAGAGATAGGCTGGACACTATCAAGCGAAGGGGAGTTAGTTATCTCTCTCTTCCTGTTCTGCTTCTCCTAGCTCAGGGGTCCCCAACCTAAGGTCCGTGGGCCGGATAAGGCCCGAGGAACTCGTTTATCCAGCCTGCAGCAACCCCCGCTGCCCACTGCCCGCTCTTTCCGCACTGCGCTGCATGACTGCCCCCCCCCCCCAGGTCGGAGGAGCACCGGAAATAGCTTGTGTGCATGCGCGTTATTTGAGCATGCACAAGTGTTCTTTCCGGGTCGGAGGAGGCCTGTGCACATGCGCACAAGCTATTTCTGGTGTTCCTCCGACCTGGAAGTGCGCAGGAAATAGCGTGTGCGCACGCATATGGGCACACGCTCCCCCGCCCCCTGGCCCGCCGCACGATCGGTGCTGGAGACAGCGCCCCGAGGCGTGGTAAGTTTGCTGACCCCTGTCCTAGCTGTTCCCCACTCAGCTCTGCCCAGCTGTTGTTTTCCGAACTATGCCCCTCTGCAAACCAATTCTCTAAATCTATGCTGCTCCATTGTTCCTGGGCAGCTTCAGGATCCTGGTCAAGAGCAGGGAGAAGGGGAGGTTTCCACCATTCCTCATCAGAGCTCTAATCCTGTCTGGTCTTTGACACCACCCAACCCAGTCTGATGGCGGGGTATTATTATTATTGACAGGGCCATCATAAGAGAACAAGGGAGGTGTACATGCTGAGTTCTGACACCTTTTCTAGAAAAATAGCACTGATTATGGAATAGGATGTCCCTATTTTCATCCGAGAAATGCTGGAGGGTATGTGTTTATACCTGCCTCTCCCTCATTTGGGGACGTCTCAGAAGACCTATGCATTCTGTGTGGTGCAGCAGCAGCGGCGGCAACTGAGAAATCACATGATGCTTTCATCAGCAGTGCATGATGGGAGCTGTAGGCATGAGCATGGGAAACTGAGGACCTTAGCCACAGTACTCCCAGCATGCACCGGGGCATTTGGAAGACGCTGCTTCTTTCCATTTCACCCTTTTCTGGCCTTCCCATCTGGATCACAGCAAAAAGGGGAACAGCTCCCAGAAAAGGAGCCCTCTAACCATTTTATTTTGTACGTTTCTTTGGAACTGTCAATTTCAAGCTAGGTTCTGATAAATTTTACGCCCAGTTCTTAGAAGTTTGATTTCATCGGTATTTTTCCTATGTATTTTTTATATTGTATACTGTAAAAAGCTCAGTGGGTTTTTGTTTACCAATTAAGTGGCACTGTATTTACCGTATTTTTCGCTCTATAACACGCACCAGACCATAACACGCACGTAGTTTTTAGAGGAGGAAAACAATAAAAAAAATATTCTAAACGAAATAGTGGATATATGATTTTTGTGGTTCATGCTGTGGCCACAGACATGTGATCTGACAGTGAGTTTGGAGTAGCCCAATGCAAAAATCCTGAGGATCCATGTGGATCCATGCTTTGTAACCACGGAGGAGGGAAGGAAGGGGAACTATGGATCCTCTGCTCACGACTGCAGCAGATCCCCCCCCCCCCCGCAGGCATTCGCTCCATAACACACACAGACATTTCCCCTTACTTTCTAGGAGGAAAAAAGTGAGTGTTATGGTGCAAAAAATACGGTACATTGTGATTAATAAATAAGGAAACAACTGCGTTATCTTTAACCATCTGCAAGATGAACTTTGCAAAATTTTCATTGCTTTGCTATGGTTAAGGGATCGTGCATAGACAAGGTCGCATCCTGTTCAGGCCAGGAGCACTCCCTTCTGCTCCCAGGTTCCCCCCCCCTGCTGCTCCCTGTCGACAAAGAAGCCTTGATTTCACCCTCCTGATTTAGCAGCCGCCCAGGTGGCTGGTTCAGGTTTCCCCTGCATGTTTTGCAATATGTTAAGTCACCATTTCAAATTGAAACCGGAGAGGTTAGCTTTCTTTTCCTGGGCACCTGATTATCTAGATGGGCGCCTGCCACTCACTGTGCTTCCCTAAGCGAGGGATGCATTGAAACCCTCTGCCAGCAAAACTTGCCAGCCTCAGGTCACCCCGACCTGTGTGTGGCTCCCAGCCTTGAAACTTTATAAAGGTTCAAAAGAAAAATAAAACGGTCCAGAGGAAAGTTTGCTCGTTCTTGTTTTTTTAACAGATGTTTTGTAGAGCCAAAGTGTGCCTCCACATCGAGAGGTGAAATGGAAACCACCACCCCCCCTGCAAGAAAACCCAGGCAGCCAGTAGAAATGTCAAAATGAACTCCACCCTACAGGGCGGGGAAAAAATGAATAAATATGTAAACAGCAGGCTGCAGTTTTGTTATTTATCGACCAGATCAATTGGCTTGTTTTAGAAGGCTGGATTTATCAGTTTGCAAAAAGTGCAGGATCTCACCTCTCCCTGGAGAGAGCAAATGGCTCTGTTGAGATATAGGTCATTATTTATTTCTTATCAATGTATTTCTTTTTTCTTTTATATACTTTATTGGAAGATGAAAATAATGTGTACGTAATTGTAAGTGCACACGGTAAAAAAAGATGTGAAAAGGGGGGGTAAGAAAAGAAAAATAACATTCAAATACAATACCAAAATAAAAACCCGCCGGAAACAGAATGTATAAACATTACCAGATTGTTATTGTTCAATCTATTATATATATATATTCTTTACTGAAGATAAAAAGCAATGTGTATATAACTGTAAGTGTACAGGGTAAAATATGATGTGAAAAAGGGGGAAAGGAAAAGGAAGGGGGGGAAAGAAAAGAACACCATATACAATATAATTGAAACTTCAGAACAAACAAAAGCCACCATATTAAAATTATTCTAAAACCAGATAACAACTCCTAAAAGCAATTGGGGTTAGGGCTAGATATAAGCAGCAGCAGCATCACCACCCAGGACAGCGATCCGTCACACATTTGGTTTCATGGTGTTAAAACCAGGAATGGGGCAAAAATCCCAAGTCCCCACCACAGACTCAAACTAAGGCCAGGACAATGACCACTGACACAGGCACCACACATACACAACAGCAAAGAGGTTCAGAAAAGTAGCAATAAGCGGATACCATGTACTGTATGGTTTCCTCTGACTATCCAATACAAAATCAAATAATCTCCAAAATTCTTTTGCTGACCAGAGGGACCCGCGGGGAGTGGTACCCCGACGAGCTGGGCAGAGGAGTAAATCCACACCCCAGGATTTTTCCTTATCAATTGTTTAATACAGAAATTTCAGTTTGGGTAACAAACACCTTTTAAAAAACAGAGGAGGGGCTGCATGCTTCGAAGACGGTGCCTGGAGTGAGAGGCCTGTTAGGCCAGGTGTGATTCCCTTGAAGATCAGTGGGAATGTGCCCAGTTTAGGGTCCCACACTTTAAAGGAGGATAGGGACAAACTGGAAGAGGTGGGGAACAGTCTAGGTTGGAAGGGAGTGGACATGTTTAGCCTGGCCGGGGTAAAAGATGCCCCACTTGCGGGCAGAAGTCCTCCACCCATGCAACCCCCCCCAATCTATACATCTACAAGGTTAACACAAGGCTGCCAGGGTGCCCAGTTGGTGGTGACCCAAGACGGCCACCAACGTGACTCTGGCATGTCCCGTTTCAAGGAGGAGCTGGGAGGCCTGTTTCTGAACCAAATTGTTTATATTCCAACCTATCTTTTCCTAAAAGCAATCAACAGGTGTCCCCCCCTTCTTTTTGGCTTGGGAGTTTCAGTGAGTTGTGGCTACAAAAATCCCCAAGGGTTACTCCTTACAAGTCTGCAGCTGTTTGACAGCTGGGTGGACCAGAAGCAGCGCTGAAAGGGCCTCAGTCCTTCCAGGAGCAAGTTGCTTGCTTGGAGCAGTCTCTGGCGCTGCAGTCTCTGGCCTGCTTTTCCTTGATGGCTCCTCCTCTGGCCAAGACACCGGTCAAGGAGCTGTCGGGTGAGCACAGGCCAATCACGGGGCAGGAAAGAGCGTGAGGCATGAAATGCAATGAGCTTTGATGCGCAGGAGAGTTCTTCTGGCTCGACTTGCTCTACCTGGAGACTCGAGTTCCCCTGCTCTAGTTCCCCTGCCACTAGCTCTCTGGGTGCCTCCAGGACAAAGAGAGTTCGGATTCAGGGAGGTGCCCAGCAGGGCTCATAGTAGTGGCTTGGAAGGGCAGGAAGTAAACAAAAATACAGTCTAGTGGTGATACAATTGAATGAGTGTTTTTTTTAAAAAAAAGATATTTCTCTTAGATTGCTGTTGGTTCAGTATTTATTTTGTAAGTTGTCTGTTTGCATGTGTTTCCAGATGCACAGGAAGAGTATCCCTCCCACAGATGGGCAGGGACCCTATGGCAGCCCTCTGGCACCAGTGGCCAACCTAAGCAGGAACTGTCTCCAGAAGAGGAAGCAAGGGGCGCGGAGCAGGAGCAGCCCAGGCACAAGGGGGTCGTGCCAAGGACAGGGCTTTACGCTACCAAATGCCTGGTTTAAACAAGGATGCTTTTAAATCTCTCCTGGAAACTAATAGCGAGGGAGATGGATGCACCTCGTTAGTGAGGGCGGCTCACAAACAGGAAGCCACCGCCAAAGAGGCCCTGTCTAGGGGCACCACCAACTGGGCACCCTGGCAGCCTTATATTAACTTTGGGGATGGGGAGGGTGGAGAACTTCTGCCCGCAAGCGGGGCATCTTTTACCCCGGCCAGGCTAAGCATGTCCACTCCCAACCTAGACTGTTCCCCACCTGTTCCAGTTTGTCCCTATCCTCCTTTAAGGTGTGGCACCCTAAACTGGGCACATTCCCACTGCAGTTCAAGGAAATCACACCTGGCCTAAAAGGCCTCTGATTCCAGGCACTGTCTTTGAAGCATGCAGCTCCTCCTCTGTTTTTTAAAAGGCATTTGTTACCAACAAACAGCTATGACCCCATCCCATCCGCAGCTCCCAAGCTGCCGAAAAGAAGGGGCAAGGGGGCACAGCTCACCCCCTCTGTATTTTAATGTTTGAAATGGTTTTGTTTCATATATATAATTTTTTTCAAAAACTTAATTAAAAAATTAGATATAGAGACAAAGCTGGAAAAAGAGTCCGCAGTGGAGGTCATCTGCTCGGAGTTGCACCTCAGTAAAGGCACCATCTTTGAAGCATGCAGCCCCTCCTCTGTTTTTTAAAAGGCTGTATTGTATTGGCCAATATTGGCCGGCTACCCTCCCGCTTCTTTCAGCGGCTTGAGAGCCGCAGTCGGGAGGGGTGCCATTGTCCCGCACACCCTTGTGGCAGCATCCTGGGCGGGGTGATAGGGCGCTCTCCATTCTGGGCTTGGAAGGCAAGGCCAATTTTTGTAAGGTCGCAAATATAAGCCACACTTTTAACTTTTCCCGGGCAGAATTTGGGGGGAAAGTGTGTCTTATACTCGGGCCAATAGGGTAATTTCTACATTAAACAATGAAAACCCATGTGTGACCCGATCGTGCATCACAACTTCTTTCTGCAGGTTCCTGGGTGGTGCTGCTGCTGCTGATATCTCCTTTTTTGATATACAGGCCGGCCAGTTCCTCCTGGAAGCACGACATGCCGGGGACACATTGGCTGTGGGTGGACACAACTGCGGTGCTGGCTAATCCACCGTCTCAGCCACCTGGCCAGAGGCCTGCTCCCCACTTGCGCCCCACTGCTGGCTGGGTTGCACCAATGCCGATGGGGCGGTGCTTTCCTGAAGACCTTCCAGACCTAGGAGACGAGGGAACAGAGACTGAGGTGTGAGGGGTCGTGTGGGGCTCTGATGGAGTGCCGGGAGTCTCCTTGACTGAGGTGCGGCTCCGAGCAGATGACTCCCGCTGGGGACTCTTTATTCCGCTTTCCGTCTCTAGCCCGATCTGCGAGAAAAGCAAACAAGTCACATCCAGATTCTGGGAAACTGCCATGATCATTACGAATTAATTAATTAATGGGGGGGACCAGCTGGGGAATGCCAAAGAGAAGAAAAATCAGAGCCCAGGGAGTGGGGTGGGACGGCAGCCAGTAGTCAGAGGGAGAAGACTGGGAAGAGGAGGTGTCTTAAGCTGGAGAGGTAACAGGGCTTAGTGAGCGGGGAGAGTCTGTGGCAGAGAGAAATCCAGAATAGAGGCAGAAGCTGCAGCGGGAGAGTGGGATGAGGGAGGCCAAGAGGCAGAGATGAGTCTGGCTGGGAAACACCTATTGTCCATCTAGACCAGCTATGCCTACTCTGATTGGCCATGGCTCTCCAGGGTCTGAAGTTAAGACTTTCCTGATCCCTTTAACTAGAGATCCTGGGGAATCAAACGTGGGACCTCCTGCCCTTCAAAGCCATTGCGCTACGAGCCCTGCTGGGCACCTCCCAGAATCCAAACTCACATTGCACCCTACCTGTTTCGCATCTCTAGCAGCCTCCACGCTGTAAGAACAAACATTGACAGCTTCCGCCTCCTTCTCTAGGCTGGGCAGAGAGAGCTGGTTCTGCAGCTGTGACTTCAGTTCCGCTACTGCGGTCTTCTCCTTCTCTGAGCATCCTTGGTGCTTCCTCTTCTGAGTACGCTTCTTGCTCATATTGGCCACTGGTGGCGGTGGTGGAGGGCTGCCGTGAGGTCCCTGCCCATCTGCAGGTGGGGTAATCTTCCTGTCCACCTGGAAACACATACAGACAACTTGCAAAATAAATACTGAACCAAAAGCAACCTAAGAGAAATATCTTTTTTTTAAAAGAACCACTCACTCAATTGTATCACCAAGAGCCTGTATTTTTGTTTACCTCCTGCCCTTCCAAGCCATTACCATTGCCTCCTTGATATTGCAGCACACATTGAGGGCTCCTGCCTCCTCTTCCGGGCTGGGGAGCAGAGAGCACTGGTTTTGCAGTCGCGGCTGCAGCTCCACTGCTGTGGCCTGCTCATGCTCCTTCTCTGAGCCCCCTCTGTGCTTCCTCTTCTGGGGACACCTCCTGCTCCCGTTGGCTGCTGGCAGAGGCGACGGAGGGCTGTCATGGGTTCCCTGCCCCTCTGTGAGAGGGATATTCTTCCTGCCCAGCCTGAGGCCCTCACTCTCTTTGTCCTGGAGGCACCCAGAGGGCTCAGGTTGTACTTGTGCAAATAAAACCATGTACCCTGAAGACACCACAGTCTCTGCTGACCTTCAGTCCAAAGAAACTGAACCTACGTAAGCACCTGGAACCCTGGGAGATTGGGGCATGCACATCCGCATCTCTGCATTTATTTGTGGATGGGCGGAAACCATAATTGTGAAGCAAGAAATGAAATCATTCTCTCTCTTTTTTTGATCTAATAAGTAACGACCTTGTATTAGTTCTCAGTCCTACTTAATGTGGAGCGATGGGTTATGTTTCTATTTAAATTTCAGTCCTTATTCCTAAACGCATTGGGAGCTTGTATCCTACTTGGGGGTTCCCCCTTTGGGCATCTGGCTGGACACAGTGAGAACAGGATTCCGGACTAGGGGCGCCATTGGCATGGGTGTCTTTTTTTTCCTTCTTGAAACATAGCAACCCTAGTTAAGGGGCCACCGCCTCCGACTTATGAGTGTCTTCCGCCCCTTTTAAGGCCACCCAAGCCTGCCCACTCACCAGTTCTAGTGGCAGGCAGTTCCCAGGACTGAATCCCTATGCGCTTCTGGCGTTATTCACTCTTGGCTGCAGGTGTTCTTCTGTGTTGCCTCCAGGTGGAAGTCACAGCCCCTCCACAGCATCCCTGGCCGAATTATTGTGGGGCTATTATTATTATTATTATTTGTCTGCTAATATCTTCCGGGGTGATGCCAGGCCGCTCCTGGAAGGACCCCTCTTATCCTGAAGCTGTGGGACAAAAACAATGCAAAAATAGCAACGTGAAGAAGTTTGAAGGACAGAGCAGGCCAAGATGTCCTCAAAGGGTCTCTATTTCCTAAATATCTCATAGGAAAGATCTGCCTAGTCCAGCCTCATTTTTCTCACATTGTATAGCCAGATATTTCAACTGGAGATTGGCCACCAGAGACTTGCCACGTACCCCCTTGAGGTGTCCAGAGTCCCCCAAGGTGTCGCTCTCGTAGGCTTCGTAGTCTAAGCTCAGAGGGCTGTCTGGGCCGGCGTCTCTCTGGGGGGCGAGGGGATTCTTCCCATTTGGGGTCCTCCTGCACACAACCTCAGAGTTGCCGATATCCATTTTGGGGAACTGCGGAGGAAGAGGGAGAAGCCCCGTCAGCAGCGCTGGGAAGGGGGGAGAGACTTCCCAGAATCTCCTGCAACCTGGCCTGACCCTGCAAGGCTGTCCTTCGTCTTCCCTGCCTGGGCTTCCCTCCTCCTCTTTCTGCCACATACAGACCTCCTTGAGATCTCTGAAGTCCCCCAAGGTGTTGCTCTCATAGGCTTCGTAGTCTAAGCTCAGGGGGCTGTCCCGGACGGCGTCTCTCGGGGGGGGGGGCAAGGGAATTCTTCCCATTTGGGGTCCTCCTGCACACAACCTCAGAGTCACCAACATCCATTTTGGGGAACTGCGGAGGAAGAGGGAAAAGCTCTGTGAGCAGCGCTAGGAAGAGGGGAGAGAACTTCTGCCTGTAAGCGGGGCATCTTTTACCCCGGTCAGGTTAACATATCCTCTCTCTTCCAACCTTTCCTCGTTGGACTGTTCCCCACCCATTCCAGTTTGTCCCTATCCTTCTTTAGAGAGCCAGTGTGGTGTAGTGGTTAAGAGCGGTAGTCTCGTAATCTGGGGAACCGGGTTCGCGTCTCCGCTCCTCCACCTGCAGCTGCTGGGTGACCTTGGGCCAGTCACACTTCTGTGAAGTCTCTCAGCCCCACTCACCTCACAGAGCGTTTGTTGTGGGGGAGGAAGGGAAAGGAGAATGTTAGCCGCTTTGAGACTCCTTTGGGTAGTGATAAAGCGGGATATCAAATCCAAATCCAAACTCTTTAAAGTGTGGGACCCACAACTGGGCACATTCGCACTGATGTGCAAGGAATCACACCTGGCCTAACAGGCCTCTCATTCCAGGCACCATCTTCGAAGGATTCAGCTCCTCCTGTTTTTTAAAAGGCGCTTGTTACCCAAAGTGTAATTTCTATTTCTATATCAGACACGTCCAACCCACCGATCCAGATTGCTCAGTCGATCAGGGGGTTAATCTTGGTGGATCGCGGGCCCAAGGCAGCCCGAGCACAGCACTCTCCTCAATAGCCAGAAAGACAATGACTCCAAAGCCGGGCACGAAAGAGCTCCGCACCCCAGCTGGTTTGGAGAGAGAGAGAAAGAGAGAGAGAGAGAGAGAGAGAGATGTGTTGGGGGGGGGAGGATGGAGGTGAGAAGGAGCTGGGTCTCTGAAGAGGGAAGGTAGGATCAAGACCAGCAACAGCATCACCTCTGCGGGGGTGGAGGGAGGGAGGGGGAGAAGACAGGATCGGCATTGCCCGCCCACCCTGTCCCCTTGTGGGAAGCAGCCAGCGCCCACCAGCCCACCCTGCTCCCATCATTGTCCCCTTGAGGGAAGCAGCCAGTGCCCACCTGCCCACCCTACACCCATCATGCATTGTCTCCCCCTCATGCTACGACAAGCTTGCCTCCCTCCTGTCTCCCAGAATAAGGAGAGGCATGAAAAGGGCAGAGCAGAGGTTGACTGCACGCAGGTTCGGACTCCAATTGCTTGAGAAAAAGCACTGGGGGGCAGTAGACTTTCAGCCTCGGCAGCTGATTTTCACGGAGTAAGACGGAGGAATAAAGCTGCTCTGCTCATTAGGCCTGATGCTCCACAGGTCTGTGGAGATCGTGTTTTTGCTAATAAAGAGTTAACTCTGTCTTTGAACTGTGTGATTACTGACCGGCACTCTGCCGCAACACATATGTACATACGTAGGCGCCTTGTTCTAGGTCAACACCTATTGTCCATCTAGACCAGCTATGCCTACTCTGATTGGCCGTGGCTCTCCAGGGTCTGAAGTTAAGACTTTCCTGATCCCTTTAACTAGAGATCCTGGGGAATCAAACGTGGGACCTCCTGCCCTTCAAAGCCATTGCGCTACGAGCCCTGCTGGGCACCTCCCAGAATCCAAACTCACATTGCATCCTACCTGTTTCGCATCTCTAGCAGCCTCCATGCTGTCAGAGCAAACATTGATGGCTCCTGCCTCCTTCTCTAGGCTGGGCAGAGAGTGCTGGTCCTGCTCATCTGACCATCAAAGAGGTTTCTTCTTTTTTTTGCACTTCCATGCTTTGATTGGCGAGGGAGGGTTGCTGTGGGGTCCCTGGCCTGCAGGGGTACTCCTCCTTGTTCACCTGGAAACGCATGCAAACAGATAACTTACAAGATAAATACTGAACCAAAAGCAACCTAAGAAAAATATTTTTTTTTTAATGACTGGATAAGCCACTCATTCAATTGTATCACCACTTGACTGTATTGGTGTTTACCTCCTGCCCTTCCAAGCCACTACAATTGCCCTACCAGAAGTGCTGGGAACCTCAGAATCCGAACTCAAACCACACCCTACCTGCTTTGAATCTCCAGCAGCCTCTATGCTGTCAGAACAAACATTGATGGCTCCCGCCTGCTCCTCTGGGCTGGGCAGAGAGCGCTGGTCCTTATAAGTAACAACCTTGTATTAGTTCTCAGTCCTCCTTAATGTGGAGTGATGGGTTGTGTTTCTATTCAAATTCCAGTCCTCATTCCTAAATCTATTGGGAGCTTGGGTCCTGCTTTGGGTATTTGGCTGGACACAGCGAAAACAGTCAAGCCAGAGGCTCCTCCCAGCTCTGCCTTGCCCCGCCCAGTGGGCTGGACCATTCACCACTAAACCCCGCCCTGTCTCTACCCGCATTCCACCCCCCCTTCACAACCTATTGTCTTCTCCCCGCCTCCTTTCACAATAGCTCATCTGGATTGGCGCAGGCGGCCAACACTCTCGCGAGCGCCAGAGCTCGCCCCTCCCCTCCCCCTTACCTCACGCTGATTGGCCGAGACAGGGGCGTAAGGGGCGTGACCCGGCAGGACCAGCCCAGCGGGAGGCAAGGTGACAGAAGCAGCAGGAGGAAATTGACCCCCAAAAAAACTTAATTAACCAAGATTAAAAAAACAACAACAGGTTTTGAACCAAAAACTTCTAAACTGCAAAGCGAATTGTTGCAGTCAAATTAAAAAATTATATCGAAAATGTACGACCTACTCCTTGAATGGGAACTGAAAGACGAAGTGATAAAAGAAACAACGATAAAGTGGTCACAAGATCTGGGCAAGACAAAACATTTAGATAGGTGGGGGAAATTATGGAGTGTTGACATAAATTTTACGGCTTGTTATTTGATAAAAGAAAATATAATGAAAATGTGTTATGGCTGGTACCTCACCCCAGTAAAATTGGCAAAGATCTATAAAAAAAACATTCAAACCTTTTGCTGGAGATGCAATGCTGAGGTGGGAACAATGTACCATATGTGGTGGGGGTGTAAGGTGATTAAACAATTTGGGACTATGATACATAAAGAGCTGAAAAGAATATTTAAGGGTACAATTCTCAAAAAGCCAGAAACATATCTGTTAGGCTTAATAACCAATGATATCCCCAAAGACAAAAGGAATATATTCCTCTATATTAGGGGTGGCCAACTCCCAAGAGACTGCGATCTACTCAAGAGTTAAAAACTGGC